TATGATATTGTATTGATTCGCTGTATTGACTTGGAGTCTCTGAAGCATAATCTCTGAAATATCTTTGAGTTAACTTTGAGCTTATTTTATGTTTACCTCACGTGATTTATATTGAGAATAATTCTTCGACATTATCACCTGTGATTCCTTAAGTAATTGTCTTAGTTTTATTTACACTTTTTGAGATTTTATTTGAAGTCACAAAACTATCATGACAATGTGAATTACCTCCAACGTGGATATTTTGTGAATTGACCATCTTTATATCACATCAAGTGCTTAAAATATTTTGCTAGTTTTATATCCTGAGGCTATTCAGAACGAAAATTATCCTGTCCATATAGATAAAGTGTTGGGAATGCTCTTGCTATATAACAGGGCATCTGGAACTCATTGATAGGAAAACCATCGATCTCTGGCCATAGTAAAGTTGTATTATTACTTTACATGTGATTAAGTGTGTCATTAATAACGACGTCTTCCTTTGGTCTTAGAGTATTTGAAGGCACAAATGAATGTACTATTCCATCATCTCCATTTTCTTTATCTGCTGAAATCTTGTCTATTAATCATTCGTTCTATAGCTGCAGAAGCATTTTGGCGATAGAATCGTTTTCAGCTAAAGATTAGAGTATTTCTTGATCAATAATTATGTCTTTATAGTAACGGTTGTTTGCTTTTAGCCACACCAGAATATTACTAACTTTACCCCGACGTACAATAAAGTTTCTAAAAACCATTGAATCATTTGTTGATTCCTGACGTATCACAAGTACATCTAGAGATAATAGATTCTGTGAAAGCCGATTTGTGAATCCTTAAACGTCTTGAGAAAAGTTAATGACATTCTCCTTATATCCAGTTTGTCCTCCATGGAGTCGATATACTGTCATAACAGTAAATACTTACGCTATAAGCATTTTTTCAACTTTCGTCAGCTCTTTAAGTTCATCGGGAATGTCACCCAGGTCCATATTATTTTCCGCAGAAAATTTATTAGGTATCATCTTTTTCATGTAGCATCGCTGATACTTTTCCATTACGAGAGACATTGATATGATTTGCTTATTACATATGATACATGATGAATATTGAATATTATCCATTTTTTTGCGAAAGTTTTGCAATATTTGATATTAATCTTTACTAATCATTTGTGCTGCTTTTGGTTTACCATTGGTTTCTTCCACTCTTTCTTGACATTTTTCGGCTGTTTATGATGTTTTTCAGCTATTTTAAGACGTCTTTAAAGTCGCATATCACGTTTTTGCTCACTTTCACAGTCAAAATGGTTCCTATGTTCCTCAGATGTCTCTGTTGAATTTCTTTGTGCTCTACGTTCACAATCATTTGCAAGTCGCGCATTATGCTTTTCCTCAGTTTCATTGGCTTTTTTTATGCGTTTTCTTTTGCGATCACATTCTAGACATGCATCGCGCTGTTCATTCATATCGTTCTTTTAGCTGTTTCTCTTTCAGAGTGTTTCAAGGTTAGTACTTCGTTTTTTCATTGTATAGTGAATTTAAATGCAGAAATCTTAAGTAATTTTATTTAATCTTTATTATGAATACTTTATTATGAATATAACTCTATAGAAATTGAAAAACAGAGTCTTCATAAAATTAAATCTTTATTAACTAAAATATTAAGTATAATATTCTTCCATTTACATAATTAAAATCCTATCCTTTTACATTATAAAATCTAAATAATAAAGAACAATTAAAGTAAGAACAATTAACATTTAAAATTTAATATTAACAAATTGGTAATTAGACAATTAAGTAATCAAATCTTATTGTTTCAAATTAAATCTAATTTTCCGAAGTATAACGAGGTGACACTTTGTCTATTGGTCACACCTTTGATCAGGTAATGATCGGCATCTTACTCCGGAATTTTCCATAAGTATTTTTTGCATCACGGAAAGTTGGGATTAAAATTTAGGATAATCTCATGATATACCATTCATCGTTTTTTATTGGTTAAGATTCTAGCTCTGGACTTAACAACAGCGAGCTGTTTCCTAGTATTAATACATTTTATAAAGGTAATCTTAAAATTAATACGCAATGATTTCAATATTCTACATATATATATCCTGTAAAATTAGATCAAATTATATTACAAACTTTTTTTCAGTGATGATAATAATAAAATTTAATATAATTTGCTTTGTCAGCTATAATTTTTCAGATTCGCATTACCTTAAATTAGGATTTTTGTCAAAATTAAAATAATCTAAATTTATCTGTAATTTTTACATATGATATCTTTAAAGAGGGTCAGAAATTTTGAACTGATCCTAAATTCTAATAATTATTTGTAAAATAATTTGAAAATGCAATTTCCCTTTTAAAATATCGATTATTTAAATGCTAATAAAATTTGTTCACATATGCAAAGCTCATCAATATTTGCTTATACAAATGATATGAAATATACTTCTAGAATAACATTTTTAACATTTTTCTTGTGAGTTAAAGTTTTTACGAAAAGTAAGTAAATTCTCTTATTGAACTAATCATAAATAAAGAAAATTTACAATTATTTGGATCATGCTTTATTAAGCACTTCTGCAACTATTACTATTGTTTCTTGAATAATAAGTAGTTTTTAATACATCAATTCAAATTAGCCATGTACTGATCTGGTAGTAATTATGAAATATATAATAAATAAAAAAAAAATTGAGTTAGTAACATAATAGTATAAATAATTGATAAATATAAAAATGAATTTTAAGTAATAAAATATCTTTTTTTTTTAATTTAAATAAATTGATAACAATTACCATATATGGAATTGTTACATTCAAATAACTATATTTCCCAAAAATTAATCTGATAAATTTAATAACAATAAATTTTAAACTGAGATTTATTTAACAATAATATAATGCTACATAAAGCAAATGATATTATCTTTTTTTAATAAATCCAAGTAGTATAAAATGATAAAACATAATATAAAATATAAAAATAAACAAAATGATTAATCTATATAAATTAATATCTAATTAATTCTTAAACCATATATTATGGAACTAAATATAAACAATATTAGTATATACTGTTTTCTTTAAAATGCCTAAAGGTATTTTAAATAACTTACTAATTAAATCATCATGTGTATCTAAAAGTTGATTTAATTCATTGGTTTGTTCTATTAAAATACCATAATTATTAATGCAATTAGTATATTTAAAACAATAATATATTAATTGTCATTACTATACCTTCAGCTGAAATATTTTTAATACTTATTTCAGTTTCTATAGAAGCTGAATATTCGTAAGTTGAATTATCTTCATCTTTATCATCAATTCCAAAACCCATTTTTTTAAATTTTTCTAATACATTTTAATACTCAGTCTTTTTTTGGGTATAGAATTCCAACATTTTTCATAAAGTTCCTTATAATCATCAGGTGTACCTTCTATAGTAGTTTCACGGTATCCATTAGAAATTTTAATACAAAGTAACTCATAATCACTTTTACTAATTAAATCCTTAAATGGAGGAATTCCACTAGAAATTTCCCACATCAATACACCATAACTGTAAATATCTGAAGCTTTTTCATATTTAAATGTTAAATCTAAAAGTTTTTTTGGATCTACATATGGAATTCTACCAAAAGTTCCAATATAAACAGTAGAATTTTGTATATTCATATCTTTTGAAATGCCAAAATCATAGATTTTGGCATTATCATCATGAATAACAATATTCTTAGAATGCTAAATTAAAATAGATACATAATTTAAATAAATATTTAAAGATTAAATTTAAATTTTAATAAATCAAAAAACTAATCTTACAAGATCTCTATGCAAAATATTTTCATTATGTAAGAAATTTAACCCTTCAGCAATTTGAAATGCTAATTTTTTCTTATCATTTCAAGTTAAAATTTTAAAATTATTTCAAGATAATTTTGAAGATCACCATCATTGACATATTGCATTATAAGAAGATAATCTTTATGATCTGTAAAAATAAAATTTTTATAATAATAAATGCAATGTTAAATTTAAAAACAGATTAATTATAATTTACCTTTACTAATACCAAAACAACGAATAATTCGATCACTATAATCAAGATGTAAATGGATTTGTAATTCATGAATAAAAGCATCTAATATATTTCCTTTAATAGATTGTATATTAGTTAACTTTTTATAAATAATACAAGTTCCTGTTTTAATCCAAGTTGCTTTCATAATAGATCCAAATCCTCCATTAGTAAGTTATTTAGAATTTATTAATTGATTAAATGGTAAAAATTTAACTTTTTTATTTTTTAATGCATTTTCTATCCATTCACTAGCATTATCCTTATGAAAATTGTTAGAATTTGTATCTTAATACATTAAAAAACAAATTTATATATTAATAAATATTATTTTACATTTATTGTAATTAAAAATTACTTTGAATAAGATCTATATTAATTCATTAATAAATAATAATAAAAAATTAGCTTATTAAAAAAATAAAAAACAATCAAAATAAAGTATAATTAATAATAAATAACTTACTATTTTTAACTTTAAATTTTAATTAAATAAAAAATTTAGTTAATGTTAAGGTTTAAATTATAATAAAAAGTATAATTAAACACTAACAATCAATAAAACATAACTTACAATCTAAATTATTATTATTAATTATTTTATTAAATAAACAATTAAGTTGACTTTAATTATAGTAACCAGTATAATTAAATACTGATAATCAATAAAAATAACTTACTTGCTAATAAAATTTATTTATTTAAATAAAAATTTAGTTAACCTTAAATTATAGTAACAAGTATAATTAAATACTGATAATTAATAAAAATAACTTACTTCCTAATAAAATTTATTTTTTTAAATAATAAATTTATTTGACTTTAAATTACAGTAACAAGTATAATTAAATACTGAAATCAATAAAAATAACTTACTTGCTAATAAAATTTATTTATTTAAATAAAAATTTAGTTAACCTTAAATTATTGTAACAAGTATAATTAAATACTGATAATTAATAAAAATAACTTACTCTCTAATAAAATTTATTTTTTTAAATAATAAATTTATTTGACTTTAAATTACAATAACAAGTATAATTAAATACTGATAATCAATAAAAATAACTTACAATCTATTATATTATTAATTTATTTTTTTAAATAATAAATTTAGTTGATTTTAAATTACAGTAATAAGTGTAATTAAATGCTAATAATTAATAAAATAACTTACCAACTAATAAAATTTATTTTTTTAAATAAAAAATTTAGTTAACTTTAAATTATAATAATAAGTGTAATTAAATACTGTTAATCAATAAAAATAACTTACAATTTAAATTATTAATAATTATTTTTTAAATAAAAAAATTTAATTGATCTTAAATTATAGTAACAAGTATAATTAAATACTGATAATCAATAAAAATAACTTATTAACTAATAAAATTTATTTTTTTTTTTAAATAAAAATTTATTTGATTTTAAATTACAATTAAATACTATTAATCAATAAAAATAACTTATTATATATTATATTATTAATTATTAATTATTTTTTTAAATAAAAAATTTAATTAATCTTAAATTATAATAACAAGTATAATTAAATAATGATAACTAATAAAAATAATTTACATACTAATAAATTTATTTTTTTTAAATAAAAAATTTAGTTAACTTTAATTTACAATAATAAGTATAATTAAATACTATTAATTAATAAAAATAACTTACTAACTAATAAAATTTTTTTTTTAATCAAAAAATTTAATTGATTTTAAATTATAATAAAAAGAATTATAAATATTAATAATAAATAAAAATAACTTACAATCTAAAATATTGATTATTAATTATTTTTTAAATAAAAAATTTAAATATAATTAAATACTGATAATTAATAAAAATAAATTATAATCTAAATGTTTAATTTTTAATTATTTTTTTAAATAAAAAATTTAGTTGACTTTTAATTATAGTAATAAGTATAATTAAATACTGATAATTAATAAAAATAACTTACCATTTAAATTATTAATTATTAATTATTTTTAAATAAAAAATTTATTTGATCTTAAATTACTATAACAAGTATAATTTAAAAACTAATAATTAATAAAAATAACTTATACACTAATAAAATTTATTTTTTAAATAAAATTTAGTTGAGTTTAAATAACAATAACAAGTGTAATTAAATACAGTTAATCAATAAAAATAACTTACTATCTATTATATTATTAATTATTTTTATAAATACAAAATTTAGTTGATTTTAAATTATAATAACAAATATATTAAATATTAATAATTAATAAGAATAACTTACTTTCTAATAGCATTTTATTTTTTAAATAAAAAATTTAATCAACTTTAAATTACAATAACAAGTAAAATTAAATATTGATAATTAATAAAAATAATTTATTCCCTAATAAAATTTATTTTTTTAAATAAAATTTAGTTAAATTTAAATTACAGTAACAAGTGTAATTAAATACTAATAATCAATAAAAGTAACTTGCAATCTAAATTATTATTAATTATTTTTTAAATAAAAAATTTAGTTGATTTTAAATTATAATAAAAAATATTAATATCTTACTTTCTGTAATATTATAATGAATATTAATATTTTTTAAATTATATTAAATATAATCAATTGAATTAATAAAATAATTTACCATCTAAATTATTAATATTTTATTTTAATAAGTAAAAATTATACAGTTAGAACTTGATATAGCGATCTACGATAAACCAATTTTGACCTATAATGAATTTTATTCTTAAAACAAAACCACTTATAATAAAATTTATCACTATATAGCGATTTTATTATAAATTTTACAATATTGTATATATTGAACTCTGATTGTAAACCAGCTATAATTATTTATTTGCAATAACTAATAACACGATTTTTTTCTCGTTATATCAATGGTTATAAAAAATGTGATTTTTTTCTTGATTTAACGATCAATTATCATTATTATAAAATTTCACTTTAATATATTGAAATTATACTATAGTAAATATCAAATGTAAATAAATTAATATAAATATAAATTGGAAGATTTTATTTCTTCTATTGATCATGTCTTCTAAAATAAAAGTAATATATTGTCTATGGGACAAAAGCAAGAACTTTGTCTCAAAAAAAATAAACAATCAGAATCTTCAATCCAATTATATAAATAAGTTTATTAGTTTCAATTAGATTTTTTTTTTTGTTCCCAAATTTTACAAATAAGAAATAGTATAGCATACAATATGCAAATAATAAATAATAAACAAATAATAATTACATTGCATTTATTGCAAAAATTTGATATAACAAACTTTTATTTTTTTATTATTTAAATTGATATATCAAGAAAAACTTATTATTCTGAATCCTTATTATAATGAATCAAAATCATCAAACTAAAAGGTTCGTTATATAAAGTTCTGACTGTAAACATAAATAATTTACCAACTAAAATATTATTAATAATCATTAAAAATTTTATATAATAAATTAAGTTTTAAATTAAAAGTAAAAAATAAATAACTTATTCCTTATAGTATTGTTGATTATTAAATTTTTCAATATTTTAATTAAATTAAATTATATAAATTAAAATATATTAAAATTTGAATAGTTACAATTTATGTATTATCATCAAATTTTTTTAAAAAAAAAATATTATTAAATAATTATATAAGAAATAATAGATAAATAAAGTTTATTACCATTTAATTCATTTAATATAGGAGTATCTGAAGCTGATTTTATTATAATGTAATTATTTTAAGAAAATTTTGAAATTAATTAATATGGTTTATAGCAAAATCTAATATTTAGACAATTTATAAATATTTCCTTACCATTTAATCTTTCTAATATTTGACAATTATTGAGTATAATTAATAGATTATTATATTTGTTTATTAATTATTTTTGCTATTGTATTTACCTTCATCACTTGATACTGATTCTATATTCGAATTTGATAAAATTTAATTTTTAGAAGCAAAATGAGATAATTAATGACATGTGTTACCTTCTTAAAGGAAACTTTTTCAGCATCCGAAACTGACTCTAATGTAAATTCATGAAAATAAATTTTTAGAATATTAACAATCCGTCAAATTAACTCATACGAAGCTTTATATCTTTATTCCTTTTTATTGTTTGGTAAAATATTTTTAATTTCTTTATTACACACTTACCTTTATATTTATTATTATAATTTATAGTAAAAAATAAGTATTTTTTAAAAAAAAAAAAAAAAAAATTTACTGTATTTCAAACTTATATAACGATAACAGAATGTAATAGTAATACACTGTAGTTTTTGTAGTATGTATGTAAAACGTATTCGAGGCACAGCACTTTAGTAATTAATTAATAACCAATGGTGATAATTTGAATCGAAAAATTTTTTTGTTCTAATTAGATACTTTGATCGTTTTCTTTTAAATAATTAACATCGCGTTATGAAAATAAAAATTACGAGGCACGTTTTTTGGCATAACGATGACCATTTGTAATCAATTTAATCTAAAAAAGTTTTTGAAGTTTTATTTTAAAATAAAAGATCTTCAAACACTTAATTTTAAAGTCCCAGATTAATTGCATCTCTAGTTGTCTGATAAGTACGAATAATTATGAGTGTTTCGGTAGGGTGTATATTGTACAATGGTAATGGTATACATGCACAGTACATATGTGACGCTTCTCGTAAAAAATAATTGCTAGCAATTCGGCCATTTCCGTAGGATATTTTACTTTTCTGATCGTGCCTTATAAAATTGCAATATGTTGCTGCAGCTTCAGCTAGTAATGATCTTATTAAATTAGAAATTAAAGATCAAGAAGTAATCAATAGTGAATGTTCTCACCTTCTGTACCGAATTGCAATTTACTTGAACATATATTTACAATCAGCCCTGCATTATATACACATTCTCTCATAATCAAACTTGCATTTTCCAAATAATCAGCGGTACACGTAAGAACTAATAATACATCCTTATAAAAATTTAAAGAATCCCAATGTCTTGAAAGGTCATCTTTAATCGCCTTAAATATTTCATTCAAGAAATTAAAATTAATAACATACTAATGACTTTGATTATTTTTAATCATACCTGTCCAATTTCTCTAAGATAATCAGTAATAGCCTTTTCATATCCAACTGGAAGCTTCGGTTTAAGCTCATCCGGTATATCACTCAAATGTAATTTAAACAGTTCAACAGGCTTATTATTATTTTTATTTCGTTTAGCTGGAAAGTCCCATGTTATTACTTTATTATATTCATCATCATATTCAAGAGCTGTACAAGTTTTGAAATAAAAATGGTCCATGTATGACAAATTATTTGTTGTGAATAAACATGACCATAAGCAAATCCAGAGTAAGTTGTCTAATCCAACCACGATTCGAATGTTATCTTCAAAATTTATGAGATGAATTCAGTCCAGCTTTTAACATGATAAAATTGTATTCAATCATTTCTTCTATGTGTTACTACATACCTATATCATAAGAGCTCCACGAATTTTCGGAGGAATTTGTAATATTTTTTGCAAGTTGAATACTATCATTATTGTTTAAAGGAAAATTTGTTTGTTTAATTTTTATTTTTTTCTTCAAGAATTTTATTGTTATTCTCATTAACATCGTCTAATATAGTGCTCCGAGCCGGTCGAGTCGACCCGGGTTGTTCGACCTGACTCGAAATTTTTCTCGAGTCGGGTTTATCATTT